GCATACTGCTGCAGCAGCTGCCGAAGCCTGAGCGAGGCAACGGCTGTGCCATGGGCCTCTTGGTGATTTTGCTGCTGCTGTTGCTGCTGCCTCACGTGCTGCTGCTGCTGCTGCTGCTGCTGGTCTTCGCTAAACTCAGTGGGGCAGCCCTCAAAGTCAGGAAAGTCGCCGTAGGCTAACGCCTCCAGAGATGCCTCCGACGAGGCGGCACTCAGGCCGCTAGCCCGCCTGCTACTCCCCAGCCGTGAAGTGCTCGAAGCTTCCTAAGATGCATGCAGCACCAGCAGCACCAGCAGCAGCATAAGACGGCAGAGGCAACAAACGGGACCAGCAGCACACAGCAGCCGTAGTGGCAGACTTTCCTTCAAAGGCAACCAAAAGAACGCGCAGGGTTCACGAGATTCCAACGCAATGCATCACCACCAGCAGCACCACGAGCGAGCAGTGGCAGCACCAGTCGTTTGACAACTGAAACAAAGGAGAGCAGCGCGAGGATGCACGTGCAGCTTCACCGCAGAATGCGCAATCAGCAACAGCAGCAGTACCACCACCGCCAAAGCTTCTTACCGATTCCCGTGGCACTTGGGTTAGGCGAGTTTGTGTGGCCCTCTGTTGCATGCTGCTGCTGTCAAAGATGCCTCGCAGCACTTCTACGTACTCTCCGCTGCCCAGAAGATCTCCGCTCCTGCGCCTGCCACTACTGCTGTCTTGTTGCTGCGGCTGCTGCTGCAATTCGGCTTCTGTGTACAGTGTAAAGTCCCCTTCCCAGTCTCGTCGGGGCCACGGACCCCCACGGCCTGAACTCTGCTGTTGCGCTTCGTTTGTTTGTGCTGCAGCAGCAGAATGCTGGGGCCCGGGGTAAGACGACAGCTTATTCAAATGTATACCTGCGACCGCGTTACGGCCTTCTGCTGCTGCTGCTGCTGGGGTTTGCTGCAGGCTCCAAGCTGGCTTGCCTCCAGGGAGGAGGAGCTGCTGCTGTAGCCACTCGTAAAGGTTTGCAACGGGATGAACTGCGTAAAGCTGCGGGACAGCAAAAGCAACATCGCCACGCTTACTCATGCTGAGCAGCATCCGCAAAC